TGTCTCTTTATGGCTGCCCAGCATTTGAACTCCTGTCAGTACTGGAGAATTCTACTCATGTGATTCTGGTGGGAGCTGGGCCGTGGCCCACTAAGAATGTCAGAGGTAGACACTGGGCCCCCTGAGCTCAGGGAGGGCACCTGTGGTTGAGTGTAGCTACTTGGACATTGCCATGCAGGATTCTGAGTCTGGAGCCAGGGACCCATGGAAGCCAGTCATTTTAGAACCCACTCCTGTGGTGTGACCTCGGTGTCCAGTATCTAGTGTTCCATGTAGACGGTGCCCATGGTGGGTGGTGCCCATCAGGTGGCTTGCTCCCAGTGACTTACTGTGGATGTGTGAGCCCCACCTGCTCCTTGTGCTGCTGCATGAAGCTATGTCAGCAAAGCAAGATGAGGGCACAGGCAAGGACAGGCCAACATTGCCTGCAGTGTCAGGAAAGACTTTGTTAGGGCATCTGAGCCTGGAAGGACTAGTAAGAGCTTGCTAACCCCCGCCTGGGGCAACTGTGAGGACTCTAATGGAGGGAGGTCAGTTGTGAGTTCCACTGGATGTTAGTGAATGGGTGAATGAAAGGAAGGCCAATGGCTCTGAGCTAACATAATGAGTTCATGTTTGGAAAGGTGGGATTGAAGGGACTAGTGAGACTTGGAGTATATGGGGTCAGGGCCTGGAATGGAGACAGACCTGGAAGGACAGTAGTCATCCTAGGTGACTCTCGTTGAGTGCACGTCTCTATTATTTTATTCAGTGCTCCTGTCAATAAACTGTGCTGTGCCATTTTCGAGTGTCCGCTCCTTTAAGTTTGTGAAGTGGTTATAGTTATTTTCCCATTTTTCAGAGAGGAAACTGAGGCTCAGAGGGATTGAGTGACTTGCACATGGAATATCACTAATAAATAGAGCAACCAGGCCGATATCTCAGTCTGACTGGCTCCAAAACCTCTTCGTCTGCTCTGCTGCCTCCTGACACACAGATGGGGCTCAGTCACGGCAGATGGGTGCAGCTGATGTGTGCGAAGAATTCCACGCTGGTTAGTCAGCGGTGTCCTGTTCACTCCATCCCTTTTCCTGGCTTTATTGTTTAATACCATTTATCCCTGATATTACCTTCTAAATTTATTTGCTTATTGCCTGTCTCCTTCACTAGAATGTGAGATCCAAGCGGGCAGGGACTCGGCCCTGTCTTTTTACATCTGTTTACTGTGTTCCTAGAACTGTGCCTGGCACATAGTAGCTACGCAGATATTGTCAAATAAATAATAATAAAAACTATCACATACATATCATGTACCACGTGAAGGCATGTAGTAACTCACTTGATTCCCAGGACTATAGTTATCCCAATATTAGAAATGAGATAACAGAGGCACAGACAGGTCAAGGAACTTGCTCAAGGTTGCACAGCCCAGAGACATGGTGCAAGGATTCTCATATAAGTACTTTGGGTCCAGAAATCAGATCGTTAGATGCTAAGTTTTACTGCCTCTCATGAGTGAATGAATGATTAGTTAAGACAGATTTATATGAGCTATAAAAATGTACTCAGTAATGCATCTCAAAGTAGACAGTTAATAAAAATAAATTTTATAAATAATGAGGTGATATTTTTCTCTTGTTAATAAGAAAGGACAGTTAATGATTAAGATAGGTATCTGGAAAAATCTTTTTTTAAAAAATAGGCTCAGGTTCCTGGAAGATACATTATAGCATCATATATAAACTACTGGTCCATAAATAATACTGGTTTTTTAAAGGCTAGTAAATCTGTCTGATACTATATACTTCAAACAGCAATATTATATATCTCTGTTATTATCCTCATAAGATATACCTATTTCTTATGGAAGAAATTATAACAGTAAACAGATGTTAACTTTCATTATAATTTATTTGTTGGTCTAAAAGCTCAGTTCAATGCTGAAGAACTATATAACAATTGGATTTTGGAAATACAGTTGAACTGGAATCACTCTTTAAACAGGGTCAGCCTTTTAAAACTTTTGCCTAATTCTGAACAAATGCCTGGGCTTTTACTTCTAATTTAGTCCTTGGACTGAATAGTCAGACTGAATTAGACCATAAATTCGTGTACTGCTAGGCTTATATTTTTAATTAAGGGATGGACAAGTTACAAATATTGGGAATCAGTTTGTGGACAGTGGAAAAGGCCAACAGCATGGGGTTAAATGAGTGGAATTCTTTCAAGGCAGACACAGGAAAACTAAAGTGCTTCAAAACCAAATCTACCTAATAATGAAAGCAATTTGTGATATTTTTAACATTAATCTGTTTTCATCCATGTTCCAATGTTGGTTTTTTATTTCATTCTATTCATATTTCTAGCTATCAGTTTTTCATGGTTTTCCCTCCATATCAAGAATAATGGGTTTTCTCCATTCTCAGAGCCTTTTTACAGTGCTCAGCTCTGGAGTCGAACCCGGTTCCCTAATGAAGATGATGAATATGTGTAATAAGCAGGTGATGAGTTAGATGTAGATTTTGAACTTGTTTGTTTTTAATAATTATTAGAGGCTTTGAATGTGAATATAGGCCTTGACAAGAAATATGCTCAAAGGAAGTACTGACTGAAAGTCCAGTGGGCTTTCTGAGTATAAAGTGCCTGTTAGGACACTGGTAGATGCTGAGGATGGAAGTAGAGGTAGACTTTGGTTCAACGAGGTAGGTGATGGTGACATAAAAAGTTTAAATCATTGTGATAAAGTTTTTCATTTTCTTTCCCTTTTCTGTCATTTTCCCTCATTTGAGCATTTGTATTTTTAGCCCCTTTATGCTTGCCTCTGCTGTGGCATAGTTTTCTTAGTGATAGGATTTTGTCTTATCTTTTAGGTTTGAAATAGCATGGTTGGTGAATGGACACAGCTCAGATAGACAGCAGACAGGGCTGCATGCACAAGTGTTTCTTCTATAGCCTTTACTTTCCCCTTGATTTTTATTTGAAAACTGTTTTTTAGTCATTCATGCAATTACATATTAGAAAAATATGCTTTTCACTTAAAGTGCATTAGGCTGGTGGTGATATGGCACCTTAAGGAGGTCTAAACCCCGTTTTGGTATTAGACAAACAGAAAGAACAGAAATGATTACAATTCCAAGTGGTAAGATCTGGGGGTAAGACCATTTGATGGGAAATTTATTGTGATCTTTTAAACTATTTTATCTTAGAAGTGCTAATACACGTGAGTAATATGTATATCTGTTTGGGTCTTTTGTATTCACACACTGAATATACACATACATATATACATACATGCATATATACATACATATACATATACATGTACTATATAAAACAAGAATAAAAGCTTTTGGGGCTTTTTGAGTATTGTTAATAGGTAAAAAATTATTTATAAAGTGGCCTTGGCTTAGTGAAGAGTTAAATCAAGACCAGGCTTCTGAGTTTCAGGGTAGAACTTTATATATTTGAGAACTTTGCTTTAAAAACCCTGTGGAGACAGTTCATGACAGCATACAAGTTTTTGAAGTGTTTCTATTTGGAAATATAGGGGTACAGAAAGCTTGATTGCCATTTTTGTGTTCACCAACTGAAGTAAATACAAAATCCTGGCATATGATTTAGTGAACAAAGAAGTAATGATTACAGTTCACCAGTAAACCAGAGAGTTTATTTTAGTCTAGAATTTAACTTCCCCTTTGTGCTGACTAAACCTGTGCCTGCTGCACTTTTCTTGTGACTGAAATTAGTCATAAGCCTGGCTTTGCATCTCTGCCAGGAAAGTGCCCTCACAGCCTTTCTGCTGACATTACCTGTCCAGGTTTAATATCTAATGACATCACTTACATACAGGGTGGGGCAAAAGTAGGTTTACAGTTGTTCATATGGAAAATAATACATATACATTTATATATATGAAAGCCTAAGCGACGGTTTGACCTTTCAACCAGTAGCTATGACGTGCACTGACCACCAGGGGGCAGATGCTCAGTGCACAGGCATGGAAACATGGAATAGACTGATGAACCTCAGAGGGAAGGGGAAAAGGGGGAGTGAGAGGGCACAGTCCAGGCTGAGGGACCCCACCAGTGCACGAATCCGTGCACTGGGCCTCTAGTTAATAAATAATAGTACAAGAATAAACTCTGTGTTTCGCATACTCACAACTGTAAACCTATTTTTGTCCCATTCTGTATTTCCTATAGCTAAGAAGGATAGTACTCATTGGGGAGAAAAATTTTGAGGTTCACTCCTTTTTCATAAAGACATTTTTAAAACTAAACTATGTTTTAACTACATTAAAGGGTTTTTAAAGCATGCATGTAACGCCTTCTGTCATCTTGATGTGAATATTTTCGTTTTTCTGGTTCCTTTCTAGTCTCTCTTCATATGTGAATTTGTTTTATGTTGCTGGAATCATGTGTTTTTCCATTCAACATAAAGTTGCTTCCATTGTTATAAAGTCTTCACTATTATAATTTCAATTGCTATATAATAGCTCATTTGCTACTTATTTTTCTTATAAAACTTTATTTAGTATTTACTGTTTCCTTTCTAGTTTGCTCATATTAGCATGCTCCCATAATTATTTGAAAATTTTATTCAAATATTAACTTTATTAGTTTTCTTCATACATGATATTTATATTTAAATAATCTCTCATGAATATATGTGTGTGAGTGTATAAAACTTATAGCATTTTTTTAAAAGGCAGTGAAAATTACTGAATAATTTAGACTCAACAATAGGAAAGCCCTGATTATCTTGGGCAACTGTTAATTCAGCCTTTAGGTTTACTTTTTCTCTCTAACATGCCGTGTTGTTAGTCTGATTTAACCTTTGATTACTGTTTTTGCATTTCATATGTGTATATGGAAGTTAAAATAAATGCTACATTATGTAAAGAAATGAAGCTTATTTGATATTTAACTCCAAAGATTTATATTACAACCATTTTCTTCTTAAATAATGAACTTGTATGACTGTATGACTGATAGGGAATGTTATGCACTATATTTCTCTAGGAGCTCCCCAGAGTCCTTCTGCTTCACGAGCTGTCTAAGCAGGAAGGTGCATGGACCATCCTTCCACTGTTACCGCAGTACGTTTAACTGGAAATGTGTCAATTCCTGACATTTCTACCTGGAAACTCGTAAGCTCCCTAGTTTTCTTATAAGAGGGTGTGTTTATTTTTTCTCAGAGCCAGTAAGTGAAGTAAATTTGAACTCAGTTTTTTATGACTATTACGTTAACCCAATTTCTTCTTAACCATGAATGACTTTTATTTTTAAATGTTTCTTTTTTAAAAGATAAAATGTCTCTATATTTGATATTTATGTTTGACAATTATCTGTCTTCTGAACTGGTGTTGTTATGGAGAGATTTCACTTTAAGATCTCTAGCTGTTGTATAAACCATTATTATTTGGCTTTCCTATATGCTGAAACTATATGTTGAAAAAAAGTATAAGAAAAACTTTAGATTTCTTGCCATTTTATATGTCCTTCATCATTTCCTGCCTATCAGTTTTAAATCTTATTATAAACTTGCTTTATAGAAGTGATTACTAGAGCCTATTTCCTTTTGTCAGCTTTTCTGCAACTTATAGCAGAAATTCATCATGGATTTTCTTCTGTGAAGAAGAGACAAGAATACGAGTTCCAGAACTCTTAGAAATACTCAGAAGATATGATACCTCAAAGGTGAATACAGTTTCAATACCAGTGTTTAGCTTTTGGGTGAAATGCTTACAAGAAGATTTTGACTATGAGGTTTTTAAAACTAATAAAGTAATTTAAAATGAAAGAGAATGTAATAATAGTTGAAAATCTGGAAGCAATGTTAAATAATTCTCTTTAAGTTTTGTAGCTTTCAGAGGGATGAAACTTACCATGAGCTGTTCTTAAATGAAAAGAAAAATCTACTTATATGTGCTCACAGTTTCAGAAAGTTCAAAAACTATAACCCAGAATTAAGTTATGCTTCTCTTTATGAACAGTGACCACATAGTATTTCAGATAAGAAATATATTTTGAGTACCACTGTAATAGCAGGGCACACAGACAAGGGTCCAGACCACATGGATGGTACAGGATAATAGGAAAACAACAGACCATTAAGGAAGCAATTACAATGAAAAATGAGACGTTTTTTAATAAGGGAAATGTGAGGCGCCATTAGAAGCACATAGCTGGGCATCATATGTAATCTGGAAGGGTCACAAGTGGAATTGACATTTAATCTGAGTCACGTAGGATGAGTAGGAATTAACAGGAGAGAAAGTGTTCTAAGCAGTTATATGTAAGAAGGTCTGGAGGTGAGAAGGGATGCATCTTATGTTAGGTTCACTGCTACTTTCATATTTTATTTTGTGCAAATACGATATAGCCATTGGCTCTTTTTTCTTTATTGATTAAGGTATTACATATGTGTCCTTATCCCCTCAGTATCCCCCTAACCCCCCCACTCATGCCCTCACCCCCCTGTTGTCTGTGTCCATTGGTTAGGCCTATATGCATGCATATAAGTCCTTTGGTTGATCTCTCCCCCTTACCCCTACCCTCCCCTACCTTCCCTCTGAGGTTTGACAGTTTGATCAATGCTTCTGGATCTGTTTTTGTTCATCAGTTTATGTTGTTCATTATATTCCACAAATGAGTGAGATCATGTGATATTTATCCTTCTCTGACTGGCTTATTTCGCTTAGCATAATGCTCTCCAGTTCCATCCATGCTGTTGCAAATGGTAAGAATTTCTTCTTTTTACCGCAGCATAGTATTCCATTGTGTAGATGTACCACAGTTTTCTAATCCACTCATCTGCTGATGGGCACTTAAGCTGTTTCCAAATTTTAGCTATGATAAATTGTGCTGCTATGAACATAGGGGTGCATATATCCTTTCTGATTGGTGTTTCTAGTTTCTTGGAATATATTCCTAGAAGTGGGATCACTGGGTCAAATGGGAGTTCCATTTTTAGTTTTTGAGGAAACTCCATACTGTTCTCCACAGTGGTTGCACCAGTTTGCATTCCCACCAGCAGTGCATGAGGGTTTCTTTTTCTCCACATCCTCGCCAGCATTTGTCATTTGTTGATTTGTTGATGATAGCCATTCTGACAGATGTGAGATGGTACTGCATTGTCATTTTAATTTGCATCTCTTGGATGATTATTGTCTTTGAGCATGTTTTCGTATGTCTCTTGGCCTTCCTTATGTCCTCTTTCGAAAAGTATCTATTTAGATCCATTGACCATTTTTTGATTTGGTTGTTCATCTTCCTTTTGTTAAGTTGTATGAGTTCCCTGTAAATGTTGGAGATTACTAGTAAACCCTTATCGGTGATAACATTGGCAAATATGTTCTCCCATGCAGTGGGCTTTCTTGTTGTTTTGTTGATGATTTCTTTTGCTGTGCAGAAGCTTTTTATTTTGATGTAGTCCCATTTGTTTATTTTCTGTTTAGTTTCCATTGCCCTCGGAGCTGTATCAGTGAAGATATTGCTTCGGCATATGTCTGAGATTTTGCTGCCTGTGGATTCCTCTAATATTTTTATGGTTTCCCGTCTTGTTGGCTCTTGTTTATCTCTAATCCCTAGCACTAGAGGAGTATTGAATACTTAATAGGTGGTCAATAAACACTTGTGAACAACTGAGTAATCCTGTGAGGTCAGCTTTCCTCCTGGGCTCTGGTCAGTGCCCCTTCAGGTGTAGAGGGCTGACTCAGAGGCATCTCGGGAATAAATTAGGCTGCTCTGTTCTGGAGAAGCCTAGGTTACTCCCTGATCACCTTATAGAATTCTTTAAGCTTGGAATAAACAGAATGGGCCATTTCTGATACTACTGGATGCCTGGCCCACCCATGTTCTGATGCCCACTCAGAATGGGTCAGGTTTAATGAGGACACCGGGAGGGAAAGGTGGCTTTTGGCTGCCTGTTTGGTTTGTTGATAATAGACCCTAAAAGTTGGGGGACAGTGAACATTAGATTTCTCAAGCACTAGAATGTTGTTACTGTCATAAAACCACCAGTTTCGATGTTGTTTAAATGCTTGAAGGATCCATTGTAGTTTTTCTTCATGCATTGCTTTCTGGGAAGATACAGTATAATTGAATGACACAGTTGTTAGGTTAAAAAAATAATTCCTTCAAAGGAGAGAAGAATTATGACCATGTCTGAGATGATGCTAACCAGCATCTATGTACCTTTTGCCATGGTTTATGTAAAACATTTGTTAGGCGTTTATGTTTCCTTTTGACTTGGGAAAAACTCCCAAATCTTTTTCAGGATGTAGGAGTTTTAATCTCCTCCAAGTGTTCATTTCACCTGGAGATTATTTTTCCATTATCCATAGCTCTAATTCTCTTCAGAAGATGGTGACTCACAGTGCTTTTTAATGAAAATTGGAATAAATTCAAAAGTTCAAAGCAAGTTCATGAGAAGCAAGAACAGAGTAAAAGTGAGATGGTTCCCCCTCTTTTCTGAACTCTGCCATAGGGAAAAAATCTAGGATGCTTTATTTCTTTTAAAACTAGCACTTAGTAATAAAAATTACATAATGTTGAAGTTAGCTTAACCAGTGTTTCCCCCCCCCTACTATTTGACATTTTAGAAATAAAAGTATAAAGCAAGTCTGGCTTGGCTGTTGACACTAATAAACTACACAAAAATAGTAAGATGTAATGTGGTAGAGTATCAGTTATTTTGTTTTATTCTGACATTTTCCCTTCAATATCTTCCTGTCATTCTTACTAATGCAAATTTATGCTGTTGTACAATATTTTAAATGGAAAATTTAATCTTTATTAAAATAATTAATCCTTGTTAAATTGCCTTTACAGGTTATTTCTATAAATTTCCATATCTTGATGAAGTCTTTCTTTTTCCCACTGTATGCCTTTAATATAAGTGTGCATTTGCTGAGATGTCTTGACTTTTTAATTTTTTGCATTATTCTACTACAGTTTGTTGACAGTAATTATAATTTTTAATGTCTATTTACAATTTTATCTTATAAATGTGCCACAAGCAATTCCTATTATTGAATGTTTAAATTGGCATTTTTTCTTTTTCCTTTCTCTCTATAATACATACACATTTTTAATTTTTACTTTAGAGGTATCAGAATAGTGCCTGAATCGTATTACACTTCTAGAGTCCAAAATTTTCAAATACATGGAGCTGATACACATGATTTGTACAGAATAGCAACCTGAGAATAATGAAAGAAAAATATTTTACAGATTTAAATAAAGAACTTTACTATAATTAAGATTTAAACATCCATTGCTATCACACATACGTGTTAAGAAGTGCTGTATAAGTTCCTATAGAGACTTATATACATAATTAATACTTACTATTAGTTATTTTGCCTCAAGTTTAACATCTTTCAAAACATAGGTAATATTTTCTTTGAATTAATCAATATAAATTTTGAATATATAATCAGTAGAAAATCTTACGTAACCTGACACTCAAAGAAACCAACTATTATTTCTTAGATGTTCTAAATATTTTTGAAGGCAGACAAATATTTGTTTTAAAAGTTAAAAACTCAACAGGATCTGTGTCTTTTTATTTTAATCTTTATTTTTGAAAGTATTACATATGTGCCCTTTTTCCCCCCATTGAACTCTTCTAGCCCACCCCTCCTCCCACCCCAGGCCTTCACCAGCCTATTGTCTGTGTCCATGGGTTATGCATATATGCATACAAGTTTTTCGGTTGATCTCTTCCCACTCACCCACCCTCCTCTGCCTTCTGGAACTATCTTTTTGATACTTTACATATTAATTTTTAAACAAGCAGTGACTATCTCTTTTGGATTTTCATTGCTAAGACAAGGCCTATAATACATAACAGATAATTATTTATAAAATGAATAACATCTGGGAATTAATTCAATTTTTAGTGATCCAATATTATAAAATTTCCTGTAATTATGTCATTTAAAAATGAACATATACTTATTAAGAAATGTGAAAATTGTTTAATCACTTTAGAGCAGTCAAAATACAACACTGTGATTGGTGTCTTGGTGTCAGAAAGCAATCATTTTGCCATATGCATCTTAATCTTTTATTTCATTCATTTTAAGTTGATGGTTAATTCAAAAACTGAGTTTTAATCAAAGTTGTTTTTAAACATTGTCATAATTTTATGTTGAAGAGTCAGATTAATGGCACTAGCCATTGCTTCTCTCCTCATCCACTCTTGCTCTCTCTCCCTTGCTCTAAATTATAGTCTTTGAGAAGCCAAAGTTTACCGTTCTCTTGAGCTACCAATGACTGCTGATGTTCTTTTTTCTCATCTCCAAGGCACTTGTTTTGCATCTTATTTGAAAAATATTCTAGCGTGAATCCAGGGTGCCTCTGATTTTCTTGAAATACTTTTGCTTTCTTTGTATTCTGTTCCAGATGTTTCTGTATTAGTTCCTGTGTTCAAGCTTTTACTTTTTCTATTGCTGCTTTTCTAAATTGGTTGAAGAGCTCACCTGAGGAAACCTGACATTTTGACTGGTTTGCCTAACTTTTCTAAGAGTCTGCATTTTTGATTTGTATATCCTTCTGTACAGAAACTTGACATTCAGACTCAAAAACCATTGTCATCACCAGACTGATGCATCACAGTTAGGCCATTCAAGTGATTTTTCAAATCACCTGAGGGAGGCAGGATTTATAAAGGTGAAATGCTTTTTACACTC